GTGTTGTTAAATCATAAATGATCGATTTTTAGCATTTATCTTCCTTTTTCTGCATCTTAATATAATATTTTGTCAGTAATTTAATTAATCAACAGAAGTTATATCTTAAACATAGAGAGGTAAATCGATTAATCGGATTATTATTATTTAATCATGGAGGCTCGATTTTATTGGTACAATAGTGGCTAAATGGGGAGAGCAATAATATTACTCTAGTGGGATGTTTTATTATTTAATTCCATTAAAATAAGAATTAATTTTATTCTATATTAATTAGTTTAATTAGGAAAATAATATTCCTACTAGAATCTTCTCTAGGGATTAGGAGACTAAGGAGTCATCTAGAAGATGAAGATTAGTAGGAGATATATTTCTTACATTAGATTATTAATTGGAGTAAGATTAGGTTTCTTAAATTAGGAATTAATTTTATTCCATGATTATTAATCTGATTAGGAAATGTATTCCTACTAGGATCTTCTCTAATGTTAGGAGACTAAGGAGTCTTCTAGAAGAGTTATATTAATAGGAGATCTCCTTCCTACATTGAATTAGTATTGGAGTAGAATTAGGATTCCTATGCCTAATGGGATAAGCCCATATTTAGCACCTCCTTAAGGTCCTTAATGTAGCCTATAAATACACCCAGTCCCAACCTCTTGATAATGATTATGCTGGCCGATTTTTTTACCCTACATACGTGAGAAATAATATTGTTAGAGAGTTAGGGAGATTCGATTAAACGCTCCACCAAGTTTAATCGAAGTAGGTGTTTAGGTAATCCATTAGAAGGCTTTTTGGTACAATTTACTTGAGCCTTTTAATACATATTTCCGGTCATCTTGCCCAGCTCATCGCTGCCGTAAGCCACCGCCGGAAATCACCAACCGCCGCCAGAAGCCAGCCGAAGCCAGCCAATCGCTACCGCGAGCGAACGCTCGCAGTCGCGCCCAGCCAGGCTTCACCGCCAACTCCCAGCAACGACGCCAGCCACGCTCGTGAGCATCATCTGCTGTCTGCTTGCTCGCCATCCGCGCCTGCTGCCAGTCGTCCATCGCGCGAGGTCCCAGCGTCCGTCTGCTAAGCGTGCGCCATTCTTCGCGCGACCAGCAGATGCGTTCTGCACGCCCGCGTGGTCCCAGACGCACACGCCCAGTCCGCCCAGGCCTAAGCGTGCTGCCTCTGCACGCGCGCGCCTTCCTTGCGTCCATCCGCGCATCCCAGCGACCCCGCACGTTCGTGCAGCGCCCGACGCACGCCTGCTGCTACCCGCGACCGACGCCCGCATCCCAACTGCTGCACACCGACCCGAGACCCGCGTACCATGAACCGAGCTTCGTTGGAACCTTCGATTAGAATCGAATAGAGGCCAAATCTATCCGCCCATTGGATTGTGGTATTCAGACGAACTACACCAACGGTACTCTACATCGTCTCAGAGTCGGCAAAAATTTTAAAAGGTAAACGTCCATATCCTAACTATAGATTCCGCTACGTTAGGATTTATTTCGATAAGTTCAATACTGTGCATGTTGTTTGACGTTCTTCATAAAACCCAACACTGAGCCCATTTCGCAGTTCCACCAAGTGAAAGGGTGGCCAATCATAGGAATCATTTGCATACTCATAGTGGCTATGAAGTCTTCGAATCCCCAAAAGCTTGCATAGGATCTTATTCTTCCACCTTGCTTTTTTTTCATTACTGCATATGTCGTTCCAGTTGCCTCCTATGAGCCATTTAGAGCCCCACTTGCTTAGCCTGCTCGAGGTAACTTCTTTGGGCTTCTCTTTCCCTCATGTCAGTGCTCAGATAAACAAAAACAATCCAGTATATATTTTGGTCAGAAACATACTGAATTCAACTTCCAAACAGAACTTGTTGGCCTCATATTGATGAATTGTGACATTTTTGTCCCATAATAAGAGAAGCCCACCACTTTTGCAAATTGGATCAACAATCAAGTTCCTACCGGCATAACCTAATTTCCTATAGACTGATTAAACAAAGGGACTGGTTTGCCTAGTTTCACTAACAAAAGCAAACCAGGGGAGGTGGAGATTTAAAGCTTCATTGAGCTAGGAAATTGTAGAGGGTCCTCCTAGACTACTACAGTTCCAAACACATGTCTTCATTTAGGGGTTTGGAGCCACTCTAGGCTGGCTGCCTCCACCTGTTCAACTTCTGTGTTAGGTCTATCTTGTTTCTGCTTTTTCTGACTGTGTTGGGTAATGGATTCTTCTTTGGAGTTTAGAGTTTCAGGACTTTCTAGGAGCAATCTTCCTCTTTTGTTAACTTGTGGTCTTCTAAGCTTGAGAGAAGCTGGAGAGTGAGAGAGAGCTTGCTGATGAGTTTTGTTCTTTCTCACCCACTTGCTGAGGAGTTTTGTTCTTCTTCTTTTGAAAATTCTCGATTTTCAAGATAAGTATTTTTGAAATATTATCTTGATTAAATTGTAGGTGTTTAGGAGTCGAGCCTCAGCCTACCTGCAACCGATCGTGTGATCTGTCTGCTATAATTTATCATGTGGGTGTTGATAAACCTTACCATGTATGTTAATTTCTATAAATGCTTGGCTTGATAATCAATGTATGCATTTGAACTGGTAGTCTCTGAGAGGGTTCTCTCGGTTGATGGGTTGCTGACCACTCCTAACTCTAGCCTTTAGAGAGCTTACTCTGTGATGTTGTATCGACGATCTGCTCATGTCGGTGGTGTATCGACGGTTTAGATGTGATCACAAGAGCGTAGTGCTATGTTAGGGGGTAGACTAGCCGATTGGTGTTCATGCTGCAATTATGATTTTAAGTCTTTATATTGATTATACTGCGTGGTATTCTCACGGTGAGCAAGCGTTCGCTCACCCCCACTATTATCTCTCTTTTCAGGTTGAACTATTGGTTGTGGCGAAAGACGAGCGAGGCGGGTTATATATTTGCTATTGAACTGTTTTACCTGCTTTCCCTTACTTAATTGTTTTCTATCTCATTTTCATACATGTTTGCTATTGTTTTCTAGAGATCGAACCATGTTTATTTTTTGGATTATGATGCATGCCTTGGGGTTCGAACTTGGATTATTATTTTAAATAATGAATTGGGAATTTGGATATTCTTGTGTTGGAATTTTAATATGGCATGAGATAGTTGTTCGAGATGGTTGATTCCCCATTTGGTTAAGTGTGGACTTAACTGTTGTTATGTGAATTTTTAATTAGTGCACATTAATTAAATCTTTAAACTGATTTTGAAAAATTAACTCTAATTTTTGGAAAAATAATTTGATATTTTTCTATTAAAATAACATAGCGTTACAATGTGGTATCAGAGCAGGTCTACATTTCTGTAGACTGCTTTTGAATTTGTTTAAGTGATTGTGTTTATGACCCTTGCTTCATCCAGTCGGGCCAGCTCAAGGTATGAGTTAATTAGGGCTGATTTTTTTTTTACCGAAAACTAAAATCCGAACCGAACGAAACCGACGAGAAAATAAACTGAACCGAACCGACTCAAGTGTAACGGTAACCGAATTTTGGTAACCGAAATGTTATTGATTCGTTATCGATTTCGAACCAATTTGGGTTCGGTTTTACCGAATCGAACCGATAACAATATATATAAAAAAAAAATCCTACAGAACTAACAAGTAAAAACTAAGGAGAGAAGTAAGGGAAATAGTGAAATACGACTTTGAAATAGTTTGCGCGTTCTTATTAAGGATGGGACTTGGGAGTTTTTCAATTTTGTCATTTTCAGTTTTCACAGAACAGAAGTAAATTCAGCCCTAGCTCACTACTCACCTCACCTTCACTTCAGAGTTCAGACCTCGACCCACTTCACTGAAAGTCGTCGGCCGATTTTTCCTCAAATTGAAAACCTTGACCTATCTTAACCGAAATCTACCGATTTTCTAATTCTCAAATGCACGTCTGTTCTTTTTCATGCAACCACAACATCAAGCTCCAAACAAGTCACGCCATATCTCAAATCCCAGGTGAGAAAATATTCTCCGCTCTAATTTGTTGTCTCGCAGTGCCATTTATTGTTTAAAATGAACATGGTGTTGTTAAATCATAAATGATCGATTTTTAGCATTTATCTTTCTTTTTCTGCATCTTAATATAATATTATCAAAACCAATACTTCTTTTTGCAGTACAATATTTTTTCAGCTGAAGTGAGAGTGAGTGAGTTGTAAATTGTAATTGTTGTGCCTGTTATTATAATTTATAAGTGTATGTTCATAACAAAATCCATGTTGCTTTGCAGTACACTTGGTTGAAACTTGAAATGGTTAATACTTAATAATTGGTGTCTAAATATTTTAGATTCACCTATTTTTTTGTAATACTTTAATATGTGAATTATAAATTGATATTCTCATGCTTTTAAGAAAATGAGAATTTCATTGTGTTTGTGGTCCTAATGAAGGAATATTATTATGTGTAAGGTTCCAGAATCATGTTGGTTGCATGTGAGATTTGTTAAAAATAAGGCATTTTATGAATGTGATGGGTCTGTATGTTGGTTGTAACAAGAATATTAGGATTACATGTTCTTACATTTGAATATTTGATGTTTTTGGTTCTATACTTCTATTGTCATGTTCATGTATGTGTTATTATCGATATTCTCAGTTTTAAATTGATATATATACTTGATTTTTTATTAGGAGTGGAGAGTCAGAGTGTGAGTTCGAGTAATCCGGCTCTAAGCAGCAATGTCAATGTCATTGATATTAAAGACGGAGATAATCAAACTAAAAAAATCTCGAGAAACATGAATGTTTCACAAAAAAGCAATACCAAAAAGAGGAAGGATAGGAGCATTACTTGGGATCATTGTGTAAGGAACATTATTCAGGATGATGAAGGAAATGAGGAGATGTTTGTTATTTGCAAACATTGTCAATTACAAATATCGGTCGATTCAAAAAGGAATGGAACGAGAGGCCTTCTCAATCATTTATATTATAGGTGTGAGAGTTCTCCTCTTCGTGTTGTAATGGACAAGAGCCAACCCACTTTAACTCAGTCGATGATGAGAGGTGAAGTAAAAATTTTCTACTTCAACCAAAAAAGACTCGAGATGATGTGTGTGAAGTGGATTGTCAAAGCGGAGATGCATTTTCGAACCGTTGAGCAACCAGACTACAAAGAATTTATATATGATCTTCAACCTCGTTATAAGATTCCTAATCGGAGGAAGATTGCTAAGGATGTTTGGAGTTTATTTTGCGAGGAGAAAGAAAAGATCAAAAGCATCATTGGTAATCTCCGTGTGAGTATCACAACCGATACTTGGACCTCTATCCAAAATATCAATTACATGGTGGTGACGGCTCATTTTATTGACTCCAATTTCAACTTACACAAGAGGGTGCTCAACTTTTGTAAAATTACTTCTCATATGGGCAAAGACATAGGAAGGTGTCTCGAAGAAAAGTTGGTCGCATGGGGCATAAGTAAGGTGTTCACCATTACCGTAGATAATGCAAGTTCCAATGATGTGGCCGTTGAGTATTTGAAGAAGCAACTCCGGAAGCATGATAGTCTTATGCTTGATGAAAACTTGCATATGAGGTGTGCTTGTCACATTATTAATTTGATTGTGAAGGATGGGATTAAAGATTTAGTAGATTCCATTGAAGCCATCCTAAATTGTGTGAAGTATATTCAATCTTCTAGTGCGAGGTTGGATAAGTTTCAGGAGTATGCGGTCTTAGAGAAGAAGGACAAAATGTCAATTATCCCGATGGATGTTGTGACTCGGTGGAATGCCACGTACATCATGCTTCATGGTGCTTACAAGTTTAAAGGTGTATTTGAAAGGTTAGTGGAAGAACTTACGCTATTTAAGTCATACTTTGAAGAGGGAAGAGTGGGGCCTCCAAGTGATGAAGATTAGGAAAAAGCTATGGGATTTGTACATTTCCTCAAGAAGTTCTATGATGCCACTAAGACTCCAACCTCAATTATCCGTGAAGCTTAGTGCCACTAAGACTCCAACCTCTCATCTTTTTCTAAAAATCTTGATAAACTTGAAGATTGATATTGAGGCTAGAATTAGAGATAAGAAAAATATTGTGTTGCAAAATGCGGCTACTTCTATGAAAAGGAAGTTTGATAAATATTGGGGCTCTTTCGAAAATATGAACATGTTAATGTTTGTAGCCCAAACCCTTAATCCACGATGTAAGTTTCAATTGATGGAGTTGCAATTGGGGGAGCTTGGCTACACTCTTAATGAAGTTGAGCACCTCAAGAGTTGGGTGAAAGCACACTTGTATCATATGTATGAAACTTATAAGGGAACGGAAAAGCCACATGTTAATGTGCATGAGAATGGGGATGATGGTGTTGATCTTGGTGATGATGATGATATTGATGATGATGATGTGGAATTAAGGATAGAGCGGAGACTTAATAGGCAAATAAAGGAAGCAAAACTCAAGGAGACAGCTAATGAAGTTGACAAGTACCTTAATGATGCATATCAAAGTACAAAGGATGATGATTTCGACTTATTAGGGTGGTGGAAAAGTAAAATCCCAAGCTACTCTAGTCTTTCCAAGGTTGCTAAGGATGTACTTGCTTTTCCTAGTTTGACCATTGCTAGTGAAAATGCTTTTAGCCTTGGAGGAAGGATTGTGGATCCGTTTAGAGCTTCTTTGACATCTAGGATGGTCGAGGCCTTAGTTTGCACAAATGATTGGCTTAGAAGAGAGGAATTTCAATTTCACAAGAAGCCTACAAAAGAAGAGCTTGAGTTTCTACATGGAACTCGAACAATTGGAACAAAGTAAGTAACTATTTTATTAATATTTAATATATTGGTATTCATATCGTGCATGAAATATTTTTGTGCTTATTGACTTATTTGTAATATTTTATAGGTATTCCCAATACAAATGAAATGTCTCCACCTCGATCTAAAAGTGCAAATCCACCCGAGTCGAAGTTAATAAATTATCATCCCATCCATCTCGAGGGGGGAAAAGGGAAAGGGGTCGATCAAATCTGGTGGCCGTGGCGGTGGTACTACATCATCGAGCAAATTAATTGATGAGGTTCTTTATTCTTGTAGTTTAATTTTATTATATTTGGTGTTCTTTCTTTTAAAATAGAACAATAATATTTTTTTATTATCTTAATGCATTATCTTTTTCTTATGCAGTAGTAGACGAGTAGTGGATGAATGTTCTGAGTTGTGATTTATAAAATTTGATTTGAATATGGTGTGGTGTGTACTGTGTTGTATTGTTGTGATTGAATATTTGGATTTGGATTTGGATTTGGGAACTTAGAAGTTTGGAACTATTGATAAGCTTGTTATGTTATGATTTGTCTATTTTGTGTTGTTATTCAATTTATATTGGTGCTCTTTATAGATCATGTTTTTCAGTTTTTGTAGTATTGTTGAATCAGAAATCTGCCTCTGTTTCATGCCTCTGTTGGAAACAAAAAAAAAAAAAAAAACCACAAGTTTTGGTTTTGTGCAGGTTCATCAGAAACCTCTGTTTCATTTCAATTTCATGCCTCAGTTTGATTTCATTAGGGCTCTGTGAACATTTCATGTTTCTTTTTGAAATGCCTCTCATTTCATGCCTCAGGTAGTCAGGTTTATCAAGATAATGCCTCTGTTAACATTGTTGGAACCCACGAGGATCTCGATATGCACAAATCACAGACAAACATTCAAC